TATATTGTTTCATTAACAAATCAACAAAATAAAGAGCAGTTTGTTCACCTTTTACAAATGAATCAGTACAGATCCTTCCCTCCACTTTCTACTCATATATATTAATCACCGGGGATGATAGAATATCAGATGCTCTGACTGGGCTGCAATAGATCATCATGCAACACAGGTGGCCTCCTGGCTCCACCTCCTGTCCCTGACAGTATTACTCTGGGCATCTACTTAACATATGATTCTTTAAAATGTTATAACACTTGAAAAACAAACAGCTGGCTGAACTCCTTGCTTCAGTTTCTTGGACAGCATTCTACTTGGTAAGTGATCAGATTTTGATACTGCTACAGTAATAACAGGAAATCATCTGTTAAAATCTTGGTCTCCAGTTGGAGAGGAGTGCCAGTGTAAAGAGGATATCTGGCTTTATAGCAAAGGCCTGTAAAAACAGTTTGGGGTTATTTATGGGCCTACAGGGAAGGCTTTGTGATTGGAGCTGAATATAAGAAACCTAAATATGGAGATACAATGCATTTGTGCAAAACCTTCACAATGACACTTGCGAGATAGCTAGTCAGACTACTAAATGATCATCTGTGTAGAAAGAAATGTTACTGTTGAACCAAGATGTCTGCTCCCTAATCAAAATGACTGACTATAAGAAAGCAACCAAAGCTTGATATGTGGGGATACACCTATAAAATATTGCTTAAAATATTAGAGAAAAGCATAAATTAGTCAAGAATGACTTAGTGTAGAATATTAGCCCATTATTGAATGTTAGATGGAATATTTAGCACAATTCATTGTTAGACACATCACTTTTATAAAGATGCTATCAATGTTTGAGTAGCCTCACTCCGTAAAATTGGCTCTCCATAAACCTATAAAACAGTGGTCCCAAAACTGCGGGGTGCGCCACCCTAGCGGGCATGGAGGAACATTTGGGGGGAGATGGTGAGGGCCCGGGCCAGCCACCACAGGTGGCAGGGATGGAGCACCACCCAGCCCCGCTCTACCCCCACCTGCATCCCCACCCCGCCTCCAACTACGGCCCCAGCCTCAGACCCATGGCTCCACTCCCAGCCCCAAACCTGCTCCCAGCCGCGGCCCTGGCCTCTCCGCCTGGCTCCCAGGCTTGCTGCGGCTCCAGCCCCAGCCTCGGCCCCGATCGTGGCTCCAGCACCAGCCCTGGCTCCCAACCATGGCTGCTGGGGTAGGGAGAGAAGGCACAGACAGGAGTGTTCTGTGTGAGTGTTCTGCACTGTTCTTTGTAGGATACACCTTTGTGAGTTTTTTGGTCTTTTTATAACCCTCTATCTCCCAGGTACCAAAGTTATTTAAGACCAACGATCACTATATTTCATCATCTGAACTTTTGGGCATGCTGTTTGTTTTGGAGGTTTTCAGCTATAGCAAGCCAAACACTGATCTAACAATATTATGGTTTACAGTGTAGTATCATTACTTCTAGAATACACCACACAGTAAGTTCTGTAAATGTTTATGTTGTTGGTCATTTTAAAGTAACAAACACCACACAGCAGGAGAAGCGGTTTATTGACCAGCCTGTTGGTGAAGTATGTTTGTCCACAAAATTAAATAAGAAATAATATTTTGAGCTAGCAAATTATCTCCCATTATCAATTCTGTTTAAAATGTCCAATATCGCCTTGTAAGGAAAACACAGCCAGTTGTTGACTTTCTCCCTTTGTTGATGCAATTCTGTATTCCAGTTTTTTCAATGAAAGGTCACAGAAGACAACTAAGAGGCATGATACTTATGCCTACAGCACAGATGAGTGTCTGGAGTAAAAAAATGTTATCCCTATTATTAGTTTTTACCCAATTATACAAATTCAAATTCATTAGTAGGCAACATAAAAAACTGTAGAAACAATTTCTAATATTGCTCAATACCTATTGTGTGCTCCTAACATCCTAATTAGGTTTGTCCGAGAACATGAGACTGTTGATGCCTTTTTGGATGGTTGGTTATGAAAAAAGAAAAAAAAAATTACACGTGTACCCTATCAAACCTTGCCATTTTCATATCTACAGAACAGAACGGTGGTTTGTGTTTATTTCAAAATAAATAAAGGGGCACCCAGTAGGAAGACACTTGGGGACCTAAGATAAATAAAACCAATCCAGTACCAATCAAAACACCACAACAGACCCCTCTGTTTGGAAGCCAGTTTCCTCAGAAGCCAATCTGCAGCAAGTCAGTATGCTTACATTAACTATAATACATTAAAGATTTAAACATGTACTGACCTTATAAGAAGGGTTTAGAATGGTCATTTGCATTTGTTTGCCCTGATGCTGCATATCAAAGAGCAAGAAAAAATATTTGTAATTTATAATCATAATATTCTTGCATCTATACAAGGGCTTTCAGCCTATAGATCCCAGATCACCTCAAACTTCTACTAAAGTATTGTATAAACTTTACACAGAGAGTTACACAAACCACCACCATGTAAGTGCAGCCAGTGCAAAGAGTGAAATTTAACATTACAGTTTAGCACAGGTATCAAAAGATATTACATCCAACTGAACCTGCAAAAGGTACAAAGGGTGGCAGGATAATCAACAAAGTTGGACTCTGGCTAAGACACCAAGGCTGATGCCGCATTCCACTGTTGCATGAATAAAAGTTTTCCATTGTGGGGGTAAATCCTGCTACTTATGTGTTATGGAACCAGGGCTTACCCTCTGCAGCTCCAAGGACATGTCTGGCTGTGGCAATGCACGAGCATATGAAACAGGACTGGGCTGTTAGATTTGATACTACAGAGTCTACTGGCCACTGCCCTCTGTTGAGCAGGAATACAAGCTTCTGCAGCCTAAAGCCAGAAGGGTGTGATTTTCAAAAGTGTGCTAGTTAGGAGCACAAGTCCCATTGAGTTTCACTGGAATTTGTGTTCCTAGTTCACTTAGGCACCTTTGAAAAAATCTCACCCATATCTCATCCAGGCTCATCACAGTGCTCACATCTGCAGCCATGAAGTTGCTCTACAACCCATGGGGATGATTTATACAGTCAGTTCTGATTTTCAGAATTTGTCCCTTTTTGAATGGGAATTAAGACAGTGGGGAAAGACATATATTACTGATGTACATAATAAAACATAACTTTGTATGACTCTAATACACTGCAGAATGCTGCAAAGGAAGTTCCCTGAAGCTAAAGAACTGTAAGTATTGCAGAACACGGGTTCATGATTACCTTTAATGGAGCTGTGAGGCCAAGAAGGGTGGCTTTATAGCACATAGCAAGGATGCATTGTGCACTCTAATTTATTTTCCATAAATTTTTTCAAGAGTTTATGAAATATTTTAAGGGCAGTGCATTTTAAATAAATATATACCTTTCTCTTGACAACTATTAATTAGCTGTTATTGTTAATAAAATAACTGGATAAGTTTGCCTAATATATGAGAGAAAAAGTAATCTGTAGAATAAGAAAATGGAAAGAAAAAAAAAGTATGTTGCATCCCACAGTATGTTATTTGGCATCTTTGATTAACAGAACTGAATAGGGGTGTAGAGCAAGTATTTGACACTAAATGTAATTATGTCACTGGCTGAAACTTGGTGAATGATAATAGTACCTCATCTACCTACCACTGAAATTAATGGGAGTTTTATCTTTGTCCAAATCCAGTTTTCTCCTGAAGTCAATAATAATTATTTTCTTTTCTTGTCCATGGTTTGCATCCAATCTACTACTAAATAAATGACAGGACTTATGGTTGTGAACACCAGCTGGGTTCTTTAGTAGGAATAGCAGCCTGAATTCAGGACTGGGGTTTCTAAATTACTGTCCATGTCATCCTTTGGGATATTAGGTTCTTTTGGTTTTCAACACACATGCCTCTTGCCTATCATTATTTGTTGAGTAAAGAGCTAGACATGTCACAGAAGAAGGAAGTATCCCTACGTAAGGGACTGCATATTTTAAAACGGCCATCTCCTGCAAACACCTACTATGAAGCATGAAATCAAAAGGACTCCTCATAGCAGTTAGCACCAAAATCCATAGTACATGTTTGCAGTAACATAAAGCACATAAAAGCCCTACTTTGAGTCCCACACTAACCTTTGGGAGTTATTGCTCTCAGAAAAGAAAATGTATTTTGTATAAGACAATAGCAAAAGGGAAAAACAGTTATCAACAAGAATACTGAGCTTCCCTCTATACAAAAAGCTATAATTTTGTCAAGATATTCTAGGAAAATCAGAACCCACAAGTGGAATTATAGATCTTAGGTCTAATCCAAAACCCACTGAAATCAATGAGTATCTTTCGACTGATTCTAGTGGGCTTGGGATCAGGTCCGTAATGGGGAAAATTAATTCCTAATGTTACTGCACTAAAGGCAGTAGAGTTCAACCAGAGATGAATTTGCACATTTATGGTAGCACATTATTTAATGTAATATACAGTTACATAAAATTGATCTCAGTGTTACATTTCTGATCCTCCTTTTTTTTAAACCTCCCTGCTCCCGTCACTCCTGTGCCTTCTTTTCCTCCTCTGCCCTTCCTCTAGTCTTCACCCATGTTTTCTTAGCCTCTTCTCACATGGCCTTGCCCATGTTTTAATTATGCTTCCCAATTTTAATTATTTGCAGTGTGATTTTCAAATTTTTTGTCCTAATTTTGCTCCCATTGCAATCAATAGGAATTTACCAGTGTGTTCTGGTTTTTTTGGAGGGGTGGACAGAGTTAGATAAATGATGACTGCTTTTTAAAATTCCACCCATATATATCAGATTTTAAAAGAAAGATTGTTAGTTTTCTGGTCTTGCTTTTTTTAATCACAGTGTAACCACTGAACAATAAGAATGCAAAAACCCATTAAAAAATAAGATTAAGTGCTTCCATTAGTTATAAACAGGCCATGCGCAAGTTTCTTGTTTGCCTTGTGGTGGTTTTTATTTCAAAATGGCTTATCTTTTTTCTTCTAAGAAACTCCATAACTTAAGTATAACATTGCTCAGATTTATACAGATTTTTATTTGAATTCTTACTATTTTATGTGATCCATGGGACTTCAAAGGGTGCCAGGAAGCAATGCTAAGGAATGTTGCCTGTGCATTCCTGGCATGTCTATTGTTACATTAGAATGATGTAATGGTTACATTATATCTGTAATGACAGGACAATATAAAATACAGTTAGAAATATTCACTTTCCTTCTAGATTTCAATTCTTTTTCCGTTATACAGAAAAATGAAACCTACATCGAGACCTATTAGAATAAAAACCCAGTTAAATACATTTCTCACCAGAAACAAGACATGCACAATACCACAGTGGAGTCATTTCAAAGACATAAAGAACCCTCTTAAAAGAATGAACATCCCATACCCAGAAAAAAATACAGTAGTAATAATTCATTAAAAATACACCTAATTAAAACACAGCTTTTTTGGACTGACCCAACCAAAATATGCAGTCATGCCATGAAGTATTCTAATGCATTATCAACAACAAATGGAGAAACCACCTGGAAAAAAAGAATATACATGTTATGTGAACCACGGTTATCCATTTCGTAGCAAAGCAAAGAGAAAGTTCTTTTATACATGTTTTGAAAATCTAAAAACTTCCTACAGCCTTTGTAAATACAATTAACAGAAAATGTGACTATCGAAAGCAGATTAGAAATCAAAAAACAGCGCAACTAAAACAGGTTAAAGTTACACACAAAAAAGTTAAAGTATATAGAGAGACAATTCCACAAGAATAAGTCCTGTCACTTTTTTAATAGGAAAAGATATTTGAAATAAAATTGATAACAAAATCACTTTTATTCTTTCTTCATAAGAAGATTCATCTTATAGAGCGATACATCATGAAATCAATTGTTGTACATCTAGGAAATTTACCAATAGAGCTTTCTTCCACTGGGGTGTACACTTTAATTTGTCTCATGTGAGTGTCTCTTCCATTCTGATGATTGGCTAAAACAGCAATCTGAATCATAAATGTGCGAATGGGCTTCTTATGAGAATCAGTTAAAGGAACATGAATCCACCCACTCGGTTCCACTAATTCAAGTTGCTACAAAAAAAAAAAAAGAAAAAAAAAGTTTTAATCCACTTAACATGAATTACCACAAATATTTAAAAAATCTGCTCTATACAACATGTCAGATTTAGCTACATTCTTAAAAACCAATTTGAAGAAATGCAGTTGAATAGTTCAAGCTAAATTCCCTGCTGGTGTAAATAGGTGCAACTCTATTGATTTCACTGGATTTGTGTATGCATTCCCCAGCTGCAATTTGCCCTTTAGTTGATGTTTTGCTAACTTAAAAACAAAAATAAATTGAAAATATCAGTAGAAAGATGGATATAAAGTTATTAGTTAACATAGTAAAAATGTTAAATTAAAGCAACATGGTTCTAATCCTCACATGTAATACATGTATCAGAAAGAAATTGGGACTAATGTCAACCTATAAAGTTTCTTTCTATTTGTTTTAAAATTTTGATCCAACCAATCTGAAGTCTCAAAGGATGGAATGAATACATTATTTGGATTTTTACATAAATCCACAAGAAGTAAGGATTCCAAAATTCCACAGATTTTTGTGGGGAGGGAAGTACAGCAGAGATTGAGGATAGGTGGAGGATTTCATGATGACATGTAATGTGCTATCTGCCAAGTTCCATGACTGGTGTCTCAGCATTCCAATGTAGCCAGTTAATCAGATCTTGGTATGACAGCCTCCATTTTAACTTGGCATTGACAAAAAATGGAGTAAAGTGCAGTATAGTCATTTTTCCTCTAATCCTACAAAAATTGATGTCAAAGTGTGCAGAGTTATAATCAAAGTCTAAACCACGTCATCTGTGGTCAACATGTGGAAATGGGGCAAAATGCTATGTAAAAAGTTGGGGAACAACTTATCTTGTAGCTACCCATCCTCAACAAAGCACAACTAAGATACATTGTTTGTGAAACACTCACATGCTACAGTGCTGAGACCCATTAAAACCCATGAGGAAATTAGAAGAAAACAAATTATTAAACAGCTGTCATTAATTGACCACGATCCATTCTGTGCACTGAATGAGACAGGAGTCCTGTGGGAAAAACAGTGCACAAGAGGGCCAAATTAAAGTTGCACAAAAAACCTTCATTCTGGCATTTCCTAACTTTTCAGCATTTGACTTTGCAACCTTAGGGACGGAGGGATAGCTCAGTGGTTTGAGCATTGGCCTGCTAAACCCAGGGTTGTGAGTTCATTCCTTGAGGGGGCCACTTAGGGATCTGGGGCAAAAATCAGTACTTGGTCCTGGTAGTGAAGGCAGGGGGCTGGACTCAATGACCTATCAAGGTCCCTTCCAGTTCTAGGAGATAGGATATCTCCATTAATTAATTTATTTTATTTAACATGCTTCTAATGCAACTTTGTGTGTGTAGTGTTGTACAGTTTTTTAAAAACAAACACTGACATTCACATGAGTCGTCAGGATTGGAACAGGCATCACAGACTTCTGTCACTTGCACTAAGGGAATAACTGATAGCAATACTAGGTTGTTATTCGATATGTGGACCAGCACTATAGAGGGACATGTTGCTACTCGGTTCCACAGATATTTGCTGACAGCATAGGAATGGTAAGACTCCAGAATCCTGGGTCCCATTCCAGGTTTTGGATGGGAGTGTGCTCTGCTGGGAAATGATACTTTTCCCCATTTCTCTAGCATGACCCCTTTGGCCCCATCTCTCCCCATCTGTCCTTATCCTGTCTCTTGTCCACCTTGGCTCTTTGTCCTGGTCCCATTCTCTGCATCTGCCCATACATCTGGCCAAAATTCAGGGATTTCCGTTTGCTAGAAATTTTGGTATTTTCTCATTTGCCTTCATTCTGACTAGGAACAAAAGCAAATTTACTGAAAATTCTCAGCGAACTGGAGATCCCTGAAAACTATTTCAGAAATATCAAAATATGGTGTTCCTGATTTGATATTTTTGTCAGTTTCACAACTGCTATTGGGTGAATAGGAGCTGTCAAATTGACAAGAATGTCAATTTCAATTCAACACTCAGTGCTAGGGAGCCTGCCAGCTCTGGGTAGCCCTGGCTGGAGCTGTGGCTCTCCGGGCTGCTAGACTCCTTGCTTGAGCCCCACGGTCAGGGAACCCCATGGATTCAAGACTCCTGTGCCTACAGGCTGCCCACTTGGGGGGCGGGGAGGGAGGGGTAGGACAGTGTGCATGGCATGCCTGCTCCAGACCCGGGGGCCCTGGAAGCCAGTCCTAGGACTCACAAGCTCCCAGCACTGCAGGAAGGACCCTGGAAGTCCTGAGAGCCATGGCTTGAGCTATCATACAGAGCCCCAGCAACCTCCTTGCTGCAGACCAGAGAAACTAACAGCCTAGAGTCCCAGCTCCAACCAGTATGACCCGGGCTACTTCTATGGAGTGAGCAGATCTGACAGCCCCATGACTCCCTGCCACAGAGCCTAGCAACATTGGGAGTTTCAGTTCCAGCAGGGGTTCCTAGGGCAGCTGCCACAGAGCAGGGAACCTGCCAGAAACATGGAACCTGAAACAGAGAGGTTCACCATGGAAACCTGCCTGTGTTTCAACTAAAGTTTTGTCAAATCTCTAACAGATTAGACTAAACATTTTGCTTCAGCAAACTGATGTCTCATTAGTCAGAAAATTTCTCACCAGTTCTACCCAGCCAGTCCCAATCTCCACTCCTCAGGCCTCTCATTCCAGTCTCAGTCTCCTTGCCCAGCAAGTCTTAGACTCCCCCTCTGGACTTCCCATCCCAATTTCCTCACTGCTCCAAGTCCCAGTCTCCTTGCCTAACTGTTCTCAGTTCCCACCCCACCAGCTCCTTGTCCAACTAGTCCCAGTCCAATCCCCCACAAGTTCCTCATTAGATCTGTTTTCCCCCACCATTTTAGCCTACAGTCACCTTCCCTGTCCCCAACCTCTTTCTCTGTTCCCACTGACTATGTCCCTATCTCCCTCCCCAGGCTCCTCATTGACAATCTCATTAACCCACCCCCTTGTCCCAGTCTCTTGGTCCAGCCAGTTCCAGGCTTCCCAAACACCCCAACTTCCAGTCCCAATTTCTCTCTCCCCCACCCATCAGGCTCCAGTCCCAGTCTCTTCCCTGCTCCCCCAGGGTCCTTGTCCAAGTCTCCTCTCCTCCTCCTCTTAGGTTCAGATCTTGACCCCTTTGCAGTCCAATCAGGCAGCTTTTTCTTCCATGCTGCCTGGCGCCCAACAGGCTCTCAGGTCAGGTGCCTGAACCCAAACTCAGCATGGCACACCAGCCCAGAGCTGTGATTGCAGGAAAATCCTTCTAAATCCCAGGCTGGAGCATGCCTAGTGCAGACAGAATCTTCAGGGAATTTAGCTGCTAAAAATCTAAGAAGCCTCTACTGAGCATGTGCTTACTACTATTTTTCACAGGCTCATAACTTGTCCAAACTTGGACAAATTTTCATGAGGACAAGAAAAGGCTCAACCTTGGCACCAGTGCACCCCCATAACAAACTTCAAAGCCCTGCACCAAAGCTTGGAGGTGCTAGAACTTCTCAGTGAAGTGGCTGTAAAATTTTTGTTAAAAAAAGGAAAAAAAAAAAAAAAAAAAAGGGCATTTTCCCCTAATCTTGTTCTTAAAAACAGTTTAACTATTTTAGCTGAAACTTTCTGCACACACAAAAATTCAGCCTGAGGAAATACCTACCATAGACAATTTTAGGCCAAATGGTTAAAGTTTGGCAAAAGTTATGAGAAACTGAAAACTGGCTCTTATAATGCTATATAATAAGTAATATAATATAATAATAATAATAATATAATATAAGAAGTATCAGGAAACCTTAACTATAGGTGGCGCTAAAGCTCCGCCTATAAGAAGAATGTATAGCTGTTAACCTGTCTCAAATGACTTCATTGTCAACTGTATTATATGTGAGCAATAAACACCTATTCATATGTTCTATTTCAAATCAATTGTGCCAAGATTATAATTCCCTGGGAACCACTGAGTCACCAGCAAAAGTCCTTTATAAATGGCATTGTTGTATTTTAAGTGACTTCCTATAATTTTTTCTCCAGATGCAGGCCATTCACTAAATCAGGTTTAAACAGCTTTTCATCACAATTAAATGCCCTGGGCAATTTTAAAATGTCTGCCAGAATGACTAATTACGTAACAGATTAAAAAGAACAAAAGTTAAATCTGATTTTAAATCTATTTAGGTGTGTCTCATTAAAAGATAAAATAAAAAGAAATGAAAAAAGGTGCAGTTACAAATGTTGATTTTAAATATTTTTAATTCAGGGCATCTCCTCCATCTCTTTCTAACCTGGTCTACAGCGTAAAGATTGAAAAGATCATTGTATTGAATTTTAAATATTAAAATTTTTGAGATGGTTGGCAGTTGAGAAGGTATAAAAGATAAGAACTAAAATAAAAACACAATACAAAGTTAAAAAAGTTAAAATGGAGGGTCAATCTCACTGCTTTTGCCCTTTTGTGTTCTGCTCTATGACCTGATCAGTCTGTCTCTTCTGTCATCTCTGCTTTCAGGCCACCTCTGATTTTTCCCATCCACCTGCTCACCTCTGCCTACACTTTAGAGACATACGTATGTAATAGCAAAAAAAAAAAAAAAAATTTTTTTAAATACATCAGAAGCAAGAAGCCTGCTAAACAATTAGTGGGGCCACAGGACAACTGAGATGCTAAAGGAGCACTCAAGGATGATAAGGCCATTGCGGAGAAACTAAATGAATTCTTTGTATCGGTCTTCACAGATGACGATGTGAGGGAGATTCCCAAACCTGAGCCATTCTTTTTAGGTGATAAATCTGAGGAACTGTTCCAGATTGAGATGTCATTAGAGGGTTTTGGAAGAAATTGATAAACTAAACACTAATAGGTCACCAGAATCAGAATGTATTCACCCAAGAGTTCTGAAGAACTCAAATGTGAAATTGCAGGACTACTAACTGTAGTCTGTAACATAACATTTAAATCAGCTTCTGTACCAAATGACTGGAGGATAGCTAATGTGACGCCA